TTATTCTTCCATATCAGATCTACTTGCGGTGATTGGATTTCATCTCCTCATAGATCTATGGTTGAGGGAGGCTTTTGCCTTACAATCACATGTATGGCGGGGCTGAGCGACAGCTAGAGTGGTGGTGGGGGCTAGGCGACGGCTGGGGTGGTGGGGACTGGGCGACATCTGGGGTGGTGGGGCGGTTGGGGTGGTGGGGGCAATTGGGGTGGCTTTGGTGCTGAGATGAAAAACCAGCTTAGGAGGGGTGTTTTGGGCAATGCAGACCATTAGTCAACTCCTACTAAAAATGGAGAATAGTCAAACTGGGAACTTTAATACCGGACGGAGGGAGTAGAACTTTTAACGCAGTTTTGAATTATATAAATTTTATATTTTACAATCAAATAATTTAAAGTTGAAAATAAAATCGGTCAAACCTTGCAAACAGAAATGTCTCGAACGTTTTAGGACGGAAGGAGTATAATAAAAGTAATAGCACTGACAAAAAGGAAATTTACTCAAATAAAATACCCCGGGTACTATCTAAAACCCCAATGCTATTGAAACAAGATGTGGCTCCCGTACATATCAAAAATAAGAAAAAAAGAATTGGAAGGAGCATTATGACACAACACAAGAGATATAAACCATTCATCAACCCAAGTTTAAGTTTGGGGACTAAACTCCCCTCAATCAAAAGAAACAAGTCATCATAAATTCTAGGTGGATATTGGTACTCCCCTCCCTACATAATCCACAATTTTACGGGGTACAAGTGGTTGACATTTAATAAAATCACACGCGAATTGAGTAACATATTAAGCATCTACTACCTCAGCTAGGGAAAGTCCTTCCGATTTCACAACACGCACACAAACAGACAAAGAGAGCATACCAATGGGGAGAGAGGTCTTATCTGCCACCACCACGAGCGTAGCTCCTTTCGGGACTGTGACGTTGATAAGGAGAATATGACCTGGACCGGTCCCTTCTTGACCTTGTCTCATATGGTGAACGCCTAGGGGAATAATCCCTTCCACCTCGATATGGTGGTGGTGAAAACTGCCTGGGAGAATAATCCCTGCTACCACGGTATGGTGGTGAACGTCTTGGCGGTGACCTTCGATAGCCATAGTCACTGTAGCCACGGTTCCATCTACGGTCACCACCACGATAACCTACACCCAAACCAAATCCACTATCAATGATGCTTGTAGATTTTAAAAACACTGATATGGGGAAAAAATCACTTTTGGTCATACCCACTTTTGGTTCACAGCCGTTTTTTATAGATTTAGTATGACATGTTTAATGAATTAGGAACACTTTTGCGGCAATAAGCAACTGAAAGTTGGCCAGAGAAGCAAACAGATCAAAAATAGTAAGATCGTCCATATATGATATAGCTGCACCCAAGGTAGTCAAACTCGCGAGTTGACTCGTACGAGTCTACAAGTCTGAGGATCGCCGGGACCTTCCCGATCTGGCGCGGCTGCAGAATCGGGCAATCCACTAGAATCGTCTGGATCGGCGATTCAGATCGTAAAAACGCAGGATCGCGTTCAATCGCCGATTGTGAGAAGCCCAGACAACGTCGCTTCAAAATCTTCTTCCAATCTCGTCGGGAATTGCAATTTGAAAGTCGCATCTGTCGCGACTCCCAATTTCGATCGGAAACAGCGTATCCTCTTTTATTTATTCCCAAATTAAATTGGAAACCAGCGTAAATAGCATATCAGCCCAGCCTTATCTTCTATTTTTTGGGAATCCAGACTTCTCCTTCCAATCGACTTCTAAGTTCTAATAGCCTTCTAATTAAAACATTAAACATATATATATATATATATATATATATATATATATATATATATAGTAGGATCTTACGATCCGAGTCACGATCTTACGATGTTACGATCTTCATTATGCTTATCGATCCTACGTAGAATCTAGAGTTTGACTACCTTGGCTGCACCGAAAGCGGGAATGACCTAATAGTCATTTGACCAAAATTGGATGTTTTCAAGCTGCATGAATTTAAAAAAGACATCTTACTCTCGCCCCTGGTACTCTTGAGTCCAAGATAGTGTCCAGGTGTCGGGGTCCTTGGACGTTTCCTTCTGGACTGCAAACCACAAGAATCAAATAAATCTCAGAAACAGGATATTTTAAAACCCACAACATAAGGGAAATGTGGCCTAGATTTTCAGCTACCAAAATTATAGTATTCAAAATATTGACGTAAAACAAATGTTATTCTTGTCGCAAAAGAAGGAACAGAGAAGTCTAATGTAATTTTCTTTGGTATTTCACAAAACTTGATGATTAGCATAAGCATAGCCTTAACTAAAAAGGCATTATCACAAGATCTACTATATTAGCATTAAGCAACATAAAGACCTAACTATAATTTTTTCCCTGAAAAATAAAAAAGACAAGACTAATATTGGAAAGAAAAAACCAATGCCAGTCATGAGATACCATAGAAGCCTCATTAGAATGTTGATTAGTTGAGAGTTGAAACTATTTGCTGAAGTTGAAGTTGTAATAGTTGTTGGTCAATCAATATAGTTGCTATGTTTAGTTGATCAGATGCAATGTGAAAAGCTGTTTTAGCTGGCCCAAGCTGTGAATAAAATGTTGCAATGGAAGAACTGATCATCTTTGGTTGCTGCCAAACAAAGCTGACACAATGTGTTCTAAATATAGTCAGAATACTATCCACCCAGCAAAACAAGTGGGCCACTCTTCAGCACTCAGTTTAAATATAAGCTTTTACCTTCTCCACAGTTACGTATCGGCCTTCAAGAACTGACTGATTGAGATGTTTGACACATTGACTTGCATCATCAGCACTTTCCATTGTCACAAAAGCAAAACCACGGGAGATACGAGATCGTGGCTCCACTACTAAAAATACTGATTTTACCTATTGTATAAAATTAAAAAAAAAGCATTAGAAATTTAAAAACCCCAATTAATGTGAATAAATTCCTAAAATTCAAGTTGACGCTGAAGGTTGCTTTTGAGCATAGTAAAATGACATTGTGGCTAAAATTTAAGCTCAATAAATGATGAGAAATTCTTGACTTTTAAAATTTGATAACTATTTCTATTAAGTGAAAAAAAGGTTTAGAGCTAAAAGAAAAGAAATCATTAGATGAGTGCAAATTCTTAAAAAAAAACAAAACTGAATTGAGGCCTGCTAATTGAGTAAAGTAAAGCAGGCATTAGAGCTAAAAGGGAAAAGGAAAAATCACTAAATAAAATGCAATGCCTAGAATTCAAAATTGAGTTGAAGATTGCTAGTTGAATATGAACAATAACACATCTTCAACAGAAAAAAAAACAGCACCCACACGTACAATTTGTAGCAGAGAGAGCACCTATCTACCACAAAAACTCCTGAAGATCAAGTTTCTCAACTCTTATGTAATGAAGTAAAACCAAATCTAGATGGAAACTGATTGATAGAGCATACCTTTCCCTCCTGGGAGAAATGTTCTTGAAGGTCCTTTTCTGTAACTCTAGAAGACAAACCAGTCACATAGAGGGTGTCCCCTGGATTAGAAGGGACAGTCCTGCACAGTTTACCATGGAAGAATACATAATTTACAACTAGCACCATGTTTTGCGGACACATTCAGTTCTTATGGAATGACATTTTTAGGAATAAAACAGACTATGATGTGAAAGAGTAAGACCACAAATTCACCTGTCACGACTTCTAGAGCGCCCCCGTTTCCTTGACCATGATCTAGAGCGAGACCTTGATCTTGATATAGAGCGAGACGTATCTCCTATTGGAGAAGGAGATCGTGAATACCTGCCAGAGAAAGATCTCACAACGGAGTAATCAATACTGTCAATACAAGCCATTTATTGTAAACAATATGAACAATTCAAGTAAATCAAAGAACACGATAACATCTCAAAAGAGCATCTGAGCTGCATATTTTGTTAATTCAATCTTCTACTTACCAATAAAAGAAAAATAATTTATTGAAGATACCTAACTCAGGCTAAATGATAATTATTACTCAAAGTTGATAAACAATCCCCACATGACTTGTAAAATCTCACAACAATCCTATCACAAAGACGCGTTAAAATCCATGAACATGAAAATCTTCGTAATCAGTCTAGAAAAAACTCAAATGTGCAATCCTCGTGTCATAACATTTATTTAAACTCTTCAATTACAAAGGACGATCCAACAGCGAAAACAAAACCCTAGGTAGAAATTTCAATACCATCGCCACAAGTAGTTATTGCAATCCATACATGTAGCCTCAAGAAAAACGAATAGAAAAAAAATTACAGATTTACCTTCTGCGTGGAGAATCAGCCTGCGAAAAAAATGAAGTTCCTTTAGCATCGGTCAAATTACAGACAATCGATAAGAGAAAACAAATCGAGAGCGCATAGATTGGTTATCTTAATAACTAAGAGTATATAGACGGCGTGTTTACCATTTCCGATCAAGCGAATCTGCCAGAGGAGGAAACCCTAAGATGACGAGAGAGGGAGAGAAAATTAAAAATACTGTCTTGGAAATCGGAAGGCGTCGTTTGGGAACGGCTTTAGAGCATTTACAAATTACAACCATTTNTTCAACCATTTTAGTATTCCATTAATTTTTTCCATCGTGTCCCAAAATTTTGCAATGATATCATTCTAAAAACTCATTTCTCCATTTTTTTTACATTATTAATTATTTTTAATTATAATTTTTTAATAAAAAAAATATATATATAATTAAAATAAAAATATTAAGATTGAATGTCTTTATTAAAAATAACATCAATATAAAAAATGAAATACAACAAAACATAGTTAAAATTATAAAATGAATAAAAATGACGAGAACTATAAAAAAAAAGTTAAGAAAATAGGCAAATTTAGAGAGATGAGATTAGATGGATTGAAGTCAAAGATGTATTGAATTTATAGTGTTGAAAAAAATTAAAAAATTCAAATAAATAAAAAAAATCCGACGGAGCAGCTGCGTGGGTGGCCACCGCAATTTTTTGCTGTAAAACCAGCGCGGCTTGGCACTGCGTTTGGAGCGAGGAGCCCGACATGCGGCTCGCCGAAAGGGTTGCATGGGCGGGCGGGCCACAAATTCGCCTGGGATTCCATGCAGCGCAGCAAAAAATCAAAAAATCCGATTGTCATTCGTATCTGTATCTGTTCACACACAAAATATTTGCATCTATTTAAATTGGATATCATTCGAATCCAATTAAGGACATCCGATAGGTAAATAAATATGAATTTGGTAATTATATATCTTATATGTTTATATCCTGCTCCACATGTACATCTGTTTGAGTAATCTTTTATTGTTTATTTGATCCGTATATATGAAAAATTAGAACCAAATACGGATATGTCGAATATCCGACTAAAATCCGGTGCATGTGAATATGGTTTTAATTTTAACACCCGTTAAAGATCCGTATTTGGATTCAATATACGGTAAATCAAATGGATGCGGATATGTTATTAGCAGATCCGATCCGATTAATATCCATTTACATCCCAAAATCTACTAATAGTATTTTAAAATCATTCCCAATTGTCGGCCACCGCCATCAGACGTCAACCATCATTGGCCATTCGTCACCCCTGATCACCCATCGCCACCAACTATCCACCAATCATTGTTTATTCTTAGCACATCAAGATTCAAATTTCTCTCAAATTTTGGAATTGATATTAAAGCTATTTTTTCTGATTTTAGAACCTATTTTTTCTAGATCACAAAATTCATATTATATCAACTCAGTCACTAACAAAAGAGGGCTTTAATGATCGAACCAAGTTGGATGTAAATAGCTCAAATCTTATACTTCATACGTTTCAATCAAAATCGGTTGTTTTGATTTACGATTTTTTACTAAAGTTATTTTTAGTATAATATATCTGAGAATCGGAACATAATTAAAAAATAAAATTCACATATTAAAATTTACATTAAAAGAATAAAAGATTTAGAATCAAAAGGTGACATGACTATGTTATTTTATTAAAAAAATACGGAGTAACTTAAATAAAATTAGACCTATGAATAGTAAACATGCAATTTATTTAATTTGAGATGGAGAAGGTATTACTCAAAGTTGGGTCATTAATATGTATAAGTCTCGACCTAAACCAATTTCATTCGATATGGACCTTATGGACTCACGATGAACTCAAGCGGGTTTATGGATACCCCACCCCCATAGAGTATGGGCCTAAACAGGCCTAAGGACAGAAGAAGAGAGACTTAGATCATTTATAATGAGAGTGTTTCTCGCCACGTCTCAACTCCTGTCATATAAGCATTCCACTAATTTTTAGTCTTGTCTGAAAAATTCTACAATGCTACCGCCTTCAAAAACTCGCCTTTTAGTTTCTTTTACATTATTCATTATTTTTAATTCAAAAGTTTTATTTAAAAAAATACATATAATTAAAAATTCTACAAGTTTTATTTTTAATTCCATATAAATCAATTTTCCACATTCCCCAAATTTCATACGGCATATCTCACTCCTACCCACAGTAAATTCATGAGACACAAAGTAGTACCGAAAACTAAAGTCATAGAGTTTCAACTACGGAGTATAATAAGATAAAACAGATGAGATACGACGCAGTTCCATGTTTAACAATTCAATTCAAACACAAAGAAAAAGACAATAGGATTTAGAGAAAAGAACGGTGCAACACAGAGCATCCCAACAAACGAAGTCCGAGAAAAGTCCGAACAATGGTGCAACGTAGACGAACCTTACTACCCGGTATTTCTACAAGACACCGGGGGGACATGATATAAAAAAAAGAGAGTTCTCATAAAATTCAAAAGGAACATAATACTGCAAAGTCCTCCATTACAGTGATGCCACATTTGTCACCAAAGCTTCTTTATTTTGAAAGACCCTTCACAATTTGCAACCTCACTTCGTCTGCATTCCATAACAATGTCGTAATTAGAGATCAATAATACCATTTATTTATAATACGTTAAATAAAAATGATATTTAACCCCAAAAATGACAAATATAATTGATAATCTAGCAAAAACATTATGTATCTATGAGACCTTGGTGACACAAATCGTGAAATACATAAATCTATTATTCCCAGAAGTGAAACTAATACTCCATGGAGTATCTAAGAACGAAAATTATGTGACTAATATTTGACTTATAATGTAAAATTCTTTGAAACTTATAAATCACTCAAAAAGCCTAGCTCCATGGTAATGAAATTCTTCCACCCCATTTGGATTTAACAAATGTCATTGGCAAAAATTAAGAAATTGAAAAAAAGTGTACTTCAAATTTATTTACAAAAAAATAGGACTAAAAATATTTGTCTTTAAAAAAGAAAGTACCCCGCAAAAAATATTATTTAACGAATGAAAAAAGAATAACAATACAAGGGAAATGACAAGTGCTCCATCTATTCTAGAGCAAATTTTTATTTTAACTTCAAAAAAATTAAAATAAAAGTGTTGAAAAATAAAACAATGTGAGCCAAAAGTTTATTCAAAAGAGAAGAATGTAATGAACCTCATACTTTTATACTTTTTCTCAAAAGAGAAGTGTACAATACATCATTGCTATGAAATTGAAAAAAACAAGTACAAAGCAGGTATTTGTTTCTTTACAAAAGTGTCAAGCTGAAATGTATTTTTACATTGTGGAAAGGAGTAGAAAATTTTTACCAAAATGTCCATAAGTCTCTGTGAACAAATCATCATAGTAAAAGCAAAGAGCAATGGTCATTTTTACTCCCATCATCATCATCACATCCCAAGAACATCTTTTGGAATTCACCTTTTTTGGGCTCTCACAGAAATCTCTCAACATACCTTTTTTGATTGAGAAATTTATACTAGTGAAATGTCCCATTCACCTGTCAACCACCCCAACATAGTAAATACACACTACTTGTTTTACTCGATAAATAACGTTTCTCAACCCAATTGTCATCCACGACATACACAGTAAACTCCCACGAACGTAGGGTCTTTGGATTTAGGGAGGGTTTGAGTATGCAAACCTTACCCCTACTTGAAAGCTATTGCACAAAGACAAGGATGGATGCTTTGACGAGACCGGGATAATCAAAACGCCAATTTTTCCAAATTTTATGAAGTTCCAAAACCGGGACGTTTCAAGAAGGGGAAGCAGCCTTTGGTTTGAAAAATCCACGTGTAGCTTGAAAGTAGATGTTGTTTCCAAGAGACCCGGCTCAAAAAGCAATTATCATACTATTATAAAAGAATAAATTCCATAGATGGTCCCCAATTACATGTGTTTTTCTATATTTAGTCCCCAATTTTAAGATATTCAATAAATCTGTCCTTGAGGCACTACATGTGGAATTTTTTGTCAAATTTGGCCTAAAAAGACTATTTATGGAATGGTTTTCAGAAATTGAGGATCATTCATGTAATATCTTATAATTGGGGACTAAATATGGAAAAACACCTATAATTGGGGACCATTTTTGGAACTTACTCTTTATAAAAATAAGTGCCATTTTTCACATGGAGTATCAAACAGAGGGAGTTATAAGGGTGGGCCTTACGTCAATTTCTGAGTACCAACAGACTCAGGTCTCTAGCGAATGCTTTTATCATCTTTGACGCTCTTGTCATCCCCATCGCTCATCTGAGGTGTATATTGGCTTGTAGAAGACGGCGAATACCCAGGTGCACTGGGGGAGTACCCTGCACTTGGACTGAGACACAAGCAGTTTTAGCACTAACAAGACAAAAGTTGAGCCAGGGTTTAATGCATGCCTGAAGTAATTTAATATGTCCATACCTGTACGGAGGAGAGCTAGGGCTGTAGTCCGGACTAGTGCCCGAGTTGTATGGGCTGAAATGTCATCACAACAAAAAAGTTGTTCCATTTTAAGTACTCAAAGAAAGACAATAGTTTATAATTAAAACAGACGGAGCATATGAATATATTTTACCTGGTTGGACTATAAGTTGGGCTTGAAGGCGAGTAAGTAGGAGATGTTGGTGAGTAGGAGGGAGATGTAGGACTGCAACATGAGAAGTAGAGCATATTATAACTACGTATTAGAAAACAAAATGTGTGCATTACTATGAGGCATATATTAAAATGTGTGTGACGGGACATTTTTTCAAGGAAGAAAAGCACCTTCTATATAAAAATAAAGCATTTTGCAAGAAAATGAATAATTGCTTAGTAACATTTGAAAGAACTAGATTACTTTTAATTCTTACACTACGTTTGGTTTCAGGAATTTGGAAGAAAAAGAAAAGGAAATTGTTTGAAATTTGGTTTCTCTCTCTTAATATATTCTGCCTTTTCATTTTCTATCCATCCACATTTATTTTCTTTTCCTCTCTAACCAAACAATAAAATATGTTCACCTTTTCATTTTTTTTCTTTTCCTTCTAAAATTCCTTGAACCAAACATAGTTTTAGAGTTTTTTGGGATAACCTATGAGGGCAAGCAGAAGCACTTACTCAAAATTTCAAAAGCAAATTATATCTGATTTCATAGAAATGAATGCTATTTTACTGAATTGGAAATTATTAGTTTTTAGCTTTTCTTGGGTTGAAACTAGAAAGGGATTTTAACAAAAACATCACGTTCACAAAAGAGAGCATTCCCAAACAGATACTAAACAAGCTGCAGATTGACACTCTTTCAAAAAAAAAGGAAATCAAATTTGTGAAATAGGAAAGCACTTTGTGATCCTACAGTATCATAAAAGCTCTAGACTTTAAGTTACTGGCTTCCTTAATACATAATTTGATAATAAAAATATGATCCTGCCCATTAACAATAAATTTGATTTGAATTATAACTGATGTTTATGATAAGATCTACTACGTATATTGTAAACTTCAGGGGAAGAAAGTCTTGAGTTACATACCTGTAACTTGGGGAAGAAGGGCTATACGGACTGGGAGACAACTTGGGACTAGTGGGCGAGTATGCAAGTGACGGGCTGTATCTTGCTGAAGGATTGTAGCTTTGTGAGGTGGGACTATAGCTTGGCGATGTGGGACTATACCCAGGAGAGGTAGGACTGTATGCTGGTGATGTAGGACTATAGCTTGGTGATGTTGGACTATAAGATGGAGAAGTGGGACTATACGATGGCGAGGTTGGGCTATACGATGGTGAGGTTGGGCTGTAGGCAGGAGAGGTAGGACTGTAGGCAGGTGATGTAGGACTGTAACTCGGCGAGGTAGGGCTATAACTGGGGGAGGTAGGGCTGTAACTTGGCGAGGTCGGGCTGTAATTTGGAGATGTAGGGCTGTAATTTGGAGAAGTTGGTGAGTATACTGGACTGGTGGGAGAATATATGGGACTTGTGGGACTGTAACCAGAAGAGGAGTTGGGGCTTAGGGGGCTATAAATGGGAGAAGATGCAAGGTTTGAAGGTGAGGACGGACTATACCCAGATGATGGTGGGCTAAATGGGGAAGAAGAGGGCGAAAAAGCCATCCCACCAATCAAAGGAGAAAACACAGCATCCGTAGAGGGCGACATTCTGAAATTTGGACTCATCATAGGAGACATAAGACCATCATGGTAATGGTAGGGGGTCCCACTTAGCGGAGATCGTCGAGGAGTCATCCCAAACTCAAGACCACCATCCATGTAACTAGGCAGTGGGATTTCAATAGCTTGTTTCAACATCTCCTCATTCAGGAACAAAGCACAGTCACCCGTACCTATCGGTGCAAGCTGACCCAACATAATATTTTCAGTAACACCCCTCAAGTAGTCCGGCTCAGCGTACACAGCCGCATCAAGAAGAATGTCCACAGTTTCTTCAAATGAACACTTCATCATGGGCCCCGTATCATTTCGATTGATCCCATGCCGAGTGATGGACATCAAATGCCCGCGATAGGTCATGGCATCACACAAAATGGCCAGATGTCTGTAATTTACATAAGAGCCATCAAAAGATATCACAGCACGCAATTCATCAAGTAAGGACTTGCGGACTGCCTCAATCCCGAGAATCTGAAAGACTTCAATCAAGTGATTGCTTGTCGTTCTTCTAGCATCAACATCTTCATGACACATAACTGCTAACAGATTCACACCCTCTGTGTCTAACATCCATTCATTTTCGGCTTTAAACCCTTCATCCACGTCAAACTTTTGCACTTTGGTGTTCTTGATGAACACTTTGTTTATGTCAGGGATGCCACGAAGAGCCATCTCTGTTAACATGTTGGTCTCAATCTTCTTAAGAAAAACGTCATCCTCGGCGGATACATCATCCAATTCACCCTTGGGAGCTTCTTCGTTCATTATGCGGATCCGAAGTATCAACTTCTCAGCATTATCGTCATTGAATATGCATGTCAGGTCGTCATCAAATTCAAGGTTGATCTTTTCTGCAATGTCAGCCATGCTGAGTTTCTTGTCTACCATCATCTCACGATTCAACTCAATTCGAAGCAACCATGGAGAGATCTTGCCAGGATCAATCTCTTCGTCAGGCATCTCATAATACGACTTAACGAACTCGGCATCCTCCTCAATGAGAGTGCTCATAGGGTCGGGATCATACCAAATTTCTGTTGCTTCAGTTACACTCCTCAAGGTCGTGTACTCCAAAGCACACTGTACCGTTTTAGCTCTCTCCTTTGTTTTACCAACTTCTGGCTTAAGATACACAGATAGAGATGGGGTTTTAATTTTCTTAGCCACATTTATGATCTCCCTTAGCCTAGGGACACCAAGTGTGACATTCTTGGCACTAACACCAGCATAATGGAAGGTGTTAAGAGTCATTTGTGTGGCGGGTTCGCCTATGGACTGTGCAGCAACACAGCCAATCATTTCCCCTGGCGCAACAAGTGACTGTAAGAAGCGAGACTCAATCTCTCCTATAACCCAATCAAAAGCTTCTCTAGTTAGCCTGTACTCCTTCAGAACCCTTTTACTTGCCAAGGCACTACG